GAGACAAGGTATGTGCTTCTGGGGCTCTGCAGCTTTTTAAACTGGAGATGAAAGCTGACTCTTACTCCAAGTAGATCATGTTTGGCAGCTGTTCTTGGAGCGGTCATTACCTGTTTCATGCTACTGACTGCTTCCTCCTCTCACCTCTCAGCTGCTCAGCACCCCTTTGCATGTGGCTGTGCGAACAGGTCGGTACGACTGTGGGGAGCACCTCATCGCTTGTGAAGCGGATCTCAATGCCAGAGACAGAGTAAGTACCAATAACTTCTTACCTCTCGGCTATCAGGTAGAATCAAGCTGCTGTCTGCCTTGATAGTTCCCATTTGCCTTTGTAAAAATCCCTGGCTGCATGGCTGGGGCTGGTCCCCAGTGCTGAATCAGTGGGACTGATGCCGTGGTCCATGTCTTTTGCCTCTAGGAAGGAGACACACCGATGCATGATGCCGTGAGGCTGAACCGCTACAAAATGATCAGGCTTCTGATTCTGTATGGAGCAGATCTAACCATAAAGAACTGTGTAAGTAATACCCCAAAAAACCCCAGTGATTCAAATGCTTTGGAAGAAACTTCCCTTCAGAGCAGTTTCATAGGTTTCAAGGCTGGGAGAGACTACTTTGAAGAGTCTTAATTAGATCATTCCAAGCTAATTAAAGCACAGCTGACAAAGGGAAAGTATAACTTGGGAAGATTGGAGAGAAGAAAAACCTCTTCTAAAGCCAGATCCCATCAGCTACAGTTTAAAAGAACATCACAGATTCTAGGATTTTTTCTAATTACACACACAATACATTGAAAAGCTTTAACATACATACACTTGCTCTCTGCACAATTCCTGGGTTTCAACCACCAGTGAGGCAATGAAGATCTTAGCTTGTCATAGAAATCTGCTGTTTTCCCACAGCTGATGGCAAGCCCAAGCACTACACCTGTATGACTGGCCGTTAACCTGACTGTTGGGCAACAAATCCCCAAGCCTTAGCAGAGCTTCAATTTAAGAAGCCCCGCACCTGACTGCTCATAGCTACCACAGAAGCAGCAGACACGTTGCTGGAGCTCTGAGACCCCTTGTTAAAAATACAGCACGTCACAAACCCTTTCTCCCAAAGCAAGCAGCAGTGGGATGGATGGTGTGTTTTACCAATGCCAGTTAGTGTTTGATTGGCAATCAATCAAAATTGAAGAGAGCAAGTTAAAAAATAGTCACTGCAGCACTCTGCAGTCCCTGCTCTCTGCCCATGCTCTCTGAAGCAGTGCCACTCTCAGCAGTATCCCTCATCAAGGTATGAAAACAATGACAGGTACAGCCCTGAAGACCAAAGATTAGCTCTTAGGCTTCATCTGCACACAAAAAAGTTGCTCCTGTTTAATGTAGATGTGGTCCATAACTTAATTAAACCAGAACAAACTCTTACCCGAATTCTCAATTAAACCTGAGAGTGTCTCACTGAGGTTTCATCTCAATGTATTTCTAATCAGTTTAATAGCTCAAAAGAAACACCTGCATGCTCTGCTAGTCATGGTATTTGCTAATACAGCTTAGATCCTCTGAAACGCAGGGAAATTTCATCATGAGTCTGACAAGGGCTGGGAGTAGGTCTGTGGTGCAAAAGGACTCTGGTCTTAGGGTGGTGAGAGTAAGCCTGAACCTGTGCATGCAGAAGGGTCCACATCAGGGAGATGCACTGTAAATATATTTAGGGAAGAAAGATGGATTCAGTAATCACTGACTGAAACTAAATCTTGCTTCTGCTGCTTTTCTAACCAGCAAGGGAAAACCCCTATGGATCTTGTTCTTCAATGGCAGAACGGCACCAAAGAGATATTCAACAGCCTCAAAGACAAATCCTGTAAGAGCGGCCACCCAGGCAAGTTCTGAAGACAGAAACCAGACTGCTCTTTTTGCTGCTTTTACATGCTTCATGTGAACCTGGAGGAAAATAGCTCTGAACATAGTATTTTTACTGAAAATATTTATGATACTGAATTATTTGAGGTACCGTCACTGAAAACTGCAAAACAAACATGCAAACTCTGCTAAAAGGCAGGTTAAGTGTTAAAATTCCACTGGTTCTAAAATGGTTTATTTATTACTATTTATTATTTATTTATTTAAAAGGTCATTTTTAATGATTCTCAATATTGTAGCTTTCTTTTTAATAGAGCTTTACATCATAATGCAATCTTTGCCAGAAACATAAATCCTTTTGTCTTAGGCAGGATTTCCAACTACATTAGCAACTTCCCTCAAACCTTCCAATAGCGCTAAATAGCAGATACTTGCAACTGTTGCCTTGACTTTGCCAAATTCTCACTATTAGAATAGTATGCTAAATGAGTGGTGATATGTGGAAGAGCAATGTAAGGTGTACTAAGGTGTCAAGTGGATTTAAAGAAGCAGTTGAGTAATGGTGTTTAGACAGGATTTGGCAACTGTAGTTGATAAAGGGCTCTAGGACAGAGCTTTAACCAATGTAACATCTGGGCTGTGGGATTCAGATGCAATGTTATGAAGGTGAGAGGAGACAGTATCAGGAATGTGAATATTTTTTAAGTTAGACTACTAAGAAGTCTGATGATTTAAGAATGCAAAAGCAGATTATGTATATTTGTAAATTTGTACTGCTTTTTCTGTACATTTTGTACTGATCTATTTCAGATTAAATAAACAGAGTAGTTCTTTTTATTTGCTGGAGTGGTGCACATGCACAGGGTCATTCTGTCTCTCCGTAAAGAAAGCTCATGTCTTGGCCAGAAAGTTCAGAAAAAGTCTCAGCTCCCTAGAGCAGCCCGCCCTTGAGCTACCTCCCTGTTACTACAAGATAAAAGCCATCTCTTACTTATTTTGTTAAATGGAAACACATACACAAAAGCAGAAAGACAGTACTTGAGTAGCTAGTAAAACAAAGCTACAGTTTTGTTACTGATTGAGTTAAAATCTCAGTTTCTCAGCAAATCAGTACTTACTGTGTGGAGCACATGAGACAGCTTCAGTTATCCAAGCCAAGGACAATGTGAGTTCTGCTAGGAAAGGCAGACACCTCTCCCTTTGCTTTTGCAGAAGCAAAACAATCTTAACAGTGCTGCCGGCAGGGGCATCAACATCCCATTTCACTGGGACGTTACATGATGCATTCACTGAAAATCCTGATGCCCCATGGCACGGCCTCCGTGAGAAACTCATGGCAGGTTCCTGCGCACCTTCACCAAGCTCTGTCACTTGGCTTCCAGCCATGAGGATTTACTGTCGCGCCAAAGCAGTGTCCTGGGCAATGAGGTGGGGTCAGGAGCAGACAGTGATAAACAGTTGTTACAGGAGTGCCAATTTTGGAGACTAAGTGAATTTACAGGAACCCTGCACAAGAGCAAGCAGAAGAAATGCCAATTCTGTCTGCAGCCAGCTATCCTAGACTGAGGCCAACAGTTTTAGACAGATGAGACTTTTCTCACACAAGCACCATAACTCACAAGTGTCACCTTGCCAGCCATAAGCCTTATTTGTGAACATCTTCTCCATGAAACTTATGGCACACCTCTGCTCACTGCCCTTCTCTGCAAGTCACTACTTCACTACTTGTTTGTGCACAATTACCCAGACACTGGGAGCATGCCTTGCAGGAAACAGAAATGACATCAGTGCTAGCTAACTCTGTTTATCATCCTAACTGAGAAGCAGTTCAATTGTTCAGGCAGCAAAGTGGCCAGAACATGCTTCAGGAAACTGGCGGAGAAGAAACTTTTTAATCAGTTCCTGAAGCACTGTATCTTAAAGGATAAAGATACAAGACTGTAATTCTTTTGTATCAAGTCAAACGAGTAGCAAGGACTTACAGCAGCGCCTCCTCCCATATGATAGTTTCCAAATAACTCCTGCCATGCTCAGGGTAGGTTATTCAATAGCCAAGGCAAGAGGGTATGTCACTCAGAAAATTGCACTAGACAAACACATTTTGCTTCTTCTCTGATTAGAGCATGGTCACTTTGGAGGCAAGTCCATAAACAGCAAACTATGTGTGTCTATGCGTGTGTGATACATACATATAACATCCCAACAACTAGACTAAAACAGACTGAAATCATCAAGTCAACAATAACTCAAAATTTGTTGAAGCAAAAGCTGTTGTGACTTATACCAGCATTATATAGAACTATTACTCTACTGAGATCTTCACCTATTCTGCTCAGTCCAGTTACCAAGAACTCTGAGATGATCCACTGCAAGACTTCTGCAATATTTTACATGCTGTAACTTCCACTTCTCAACTTGCGCAAATACAGAACTGGAATACTCACTGTAAAGCTGGCTCAAGAGCATCTTGAGTACAGTAGCTTACATAACTTTTTATATTGGTTTCATCAAAAGAAAAACTTCAGTCAACATTTGGAAGAGCTCTGACAATGCTCTGCTGATTATAAATCTGTTATGATTGCTTTTTTGGCAGCCAGATTAAGTTTACTGAGGCATTAACAGGAAGGAAAACAGAAAGGCAGGAGGCAGCAAAATGAACACTCTCCTAGACAACACTGCCAGACCAGGACATAAAGAAGGAAATGATGCAGTAAAAACGATGTGACATGGAGACTGCTCAGGCCTAGGTGAGACAGCTGTTATTCTGCGACTGCAACACAGTATGCTGAGCACATATTCAGTGTAACCTTGGGCTCTTCCTTCCCATCTGCAGTAACCATCTCATGTGACTGTGGTTTTAAGAGCTGCAAGACAGGGATGGCCCTTGGGATGTGTCTCTGGCAGGTCAGGTTAGTCAGTCCTACTGTAACACAAATCCAAGGTATCTCCTAGCAAGTGACAGAATCTAAGATCTTCTTTATAGCCACTGGCCACGAAACAGAATGGGAAGCAGTGTTTTGTTTTTCCTTTACTGCACAATTATTCTCCACAGGCCCCTGAAGGTAAACTTCATCTACTGTTTGTAGCTGTAAGGTTTAGTACAGAGATGTGTTTAAAACTTGAGAAACCATGAGCTATACTTTCAAAGCATACATTCTTAGAAACATTTTTAATTAAAAAGGAATGCACTTGTACAACTGAAAATTTCTGTTATAAATATCGTGTTGAGTTTGCACTATCTTCAGAAGACCTAAGACAGGGTGGAGAGAGAGTCTCCTGACCTTGGCCAGAAGCCCAGCATGACCTTTTAGGTGTGGTGAACTACCATACAGCAGCCTCATTCCCACAGCTTTCCTCACTTGAGCACCAGAATTCTTCTCCAGGCTAAATAAATTAGTAAGGGAGGAATGGGAGTAGCTGGAGGGAGGAAGAAGTCTCAACACTGGGTAAAGATGGGATGGAGGTTCTTGTTGACAACTGATTCAGTCCTCAAGCTTGAGTCTTAGCTTTTTTGCAGGCTGGCAGTGTTTCTTCCTCCTCAACCTTGCGAGGCTTCTTCACTGTGTACACTATCCCACAGGCACTCTTCCGAGTTTCTGGAATAATACAAGCAGAAGCTGTAGTACCTCAAATAAAATGACACATGCATTTAATGCAGTTATTTCAGGTGCCCATGCCCCAAAGCACAGTTCAACATGTTTAACAGCCATAGAGCACACACAGCAGGTAAGCAACCTTCACAGGCAGGAGCCGGGGATCCGCTGCACTAGGGAGTGGGGAAACCCAACAGTGGGTGTAGAATTACAGCAAACATAAGTGAAAACTGAGGTCTGTCGGGCTGAGGGGCTGCAGACACACAAGAACATAGGAAACCAGGCTTAATCAGTTCAATTTCTGAGCAAAACATACTGTTCTTAAAAAAAAAAATAAATTCACATACGCCAGGATTCTTAAACAGACTATGCTGGCATAGCTCTGTTGGCAGAGGCTCCCCTATACATACCAAGTAAGTAGCTTTATAGTATTCAAGAATATTTATTTACAGAACCCTCAGCATCACCATAAAGTACTACTGTGTGATGTTATCAAACTCCTCAGAAGTTTGCCAAACAACCTAGTGAGCCCAATCCAATTTCGTAACTAGTGGTGGGAGGCTTCTCCATAAAATTTGAGGTAGAAGAGATTCTCTACAAATACTCCGTTAGCAAAGAAGCTCTGCAAGCACCTTGCCAAAATGTATTGACTTATTCTGGGTTAGTATTCTCTGGGGACAGGGTACCAGCACTTGCTATTTAATTTAACAGATAAGATAGATGATGGTCTTGAGAAATTCCACATAAACTCGACAAAAATTCTTCCCATACACTGTCTCTGTGCTGAGGAGTAGCTGCTGGAGAAGGACCCCATTCTCAGAAACACCCTCTCCAAGAGGTCAAAGCTACCTGCTGTGAATTACAGCAGGTTCAAGGCTCCCCTCTACTGAAACAAGTGATATAAGCCAAATCCTACTGTGCATTTGAAACTTAGAGCAACTCAAGTTGTTAGGAAGGTGACCAGAAATCATACATACCCAACCAACCTTGACAGAGGCAGCCATAAAGAGCTACATGTAACTACTCAGCCACAAAGTTGAACTGCCATCAGAATAAGCAACAACAACAAAAAAAAAAAAATCAAGAAAGACTGAGAACCAGTAACTAAGCATGTGAAAGGGAGGGCATGGATGAAGAAGTTGGTGCTACGGTGGAAAGCAAAGGTCTAAGCTGATTGCTGGAACATCAACTTTTACATCTCTGCTGCACTGATACCAGGGAACAAAATACAACTGGAAACCTTTTGATTTCCAGTGAAGGGGCCACAAGCTAAATTTCCACTTTCTTAATATTAACAATGGGCAAACAGAGGACAGCTACCACGAGCTGCCTCTGCCAAATGCGTAAAGAAGCAAGGTTTGTTTCAGCACACCACTTCAGGCCATTGTATACTATATGAAACTTTTTTTTTCCTAAGCAGCAAGCACTCAGGGTATTTGATTTTGCATCAAGTTTGAAATAGTCCAGACTGAAAAACAAGTGAAAAACAGACCACATAATGAAGCATCAGAAAGAGAGATGGGAACGGTTTCCACAATCATGCTGCAAGAGGGTAAACACAAAACACATGCATCCTGATTTTCTCGAAGTCCATGACACATTTTCTGCTGGTGCTAGCAAGATCAGCATTCAGCCCTTTCTGAAACAAGGGATGGGATAGTTTCACTAGGAAACACAACAGGCAAATCTGTGTTTTGGCTAAACAGTTTATGACTCGTTAATGTGGTTAAGCAAGTACTCCAGTACAGACAGCCCAATCAGTTCAGCCACTGGTTTGCCAACACAGCAACTAGGGAAAATAAAACACCCTTGCCACACAAGCTCTTCATCATGCGTTGGACAAGGGAGCTAAAACCCCAAGCTGACTTACTCTATAAGGTCTCAGGCCTTTTGGAAAATATGCATTAACATGAACTTAGTTTAACAAATGCACATTACTTAAACAAGCTTGCACGTGCTTTTCACTTACCTCCATGAAGCATGGTGGCCCTGCAGTTGGTAGATACAGCTGCCTTGGCTTCACCTTCTGACAGGCCAAACAGCAAACCTCTGTCACCTTTGCTCAGGATCAAAATGCACAGAAAGGAACAAACAAAACAGGGAAGTCCGTCTGCATGGTAGGTTTGCTTACTCCACAAATAACTGGGAATTAGCGAAGCTGTAACTCAAAGTGACATTTTGCATAAGGCTACCCAGAGGCAGGGAACTGAGGCACTGAGTTCTCCCAGCTGTAGTTCCCCAGCAGCCCTCCTGGAATGCTCCTGGCAGTGTTGCTTTTTTCCAGACAAGGAGCCATACTTTTGAAAATAAAGGTCTGCCATCATGGGAACATTTTTATGTGAATAATAAGCAAACAAGTTACCCCATTAAAAAGTTCAGGTTTGGGGGAAGGGCACTGTCTGATACAAAAGCATTACGCTGAAAAGTTCCCAGCCACCTTCAGCAAGGATGACACCAGATTAGGTATGTTAATTTGGGTTGAGCCTGACTGCTCTTTTTAAGAGGGAAGGAAATGTTGTGCATAAAATCTTTCCAGGCCACACAACCTCCCACACGGTTCTCATGACTCAGAGCATGCTCCTTCCCTTTGAGGGACAGTCCAGATACATGCTTGTTGGCCAGAGAGGGGGGAATAGTAAAAAATACATCTGAATTCCTAAAAGAGGGGAGAAAAGACACTCTTCTTGGTTTCTAGAACATAACTGCTTAGGTACATATGTGCAGGTAAACAAGGACTGGAAAATTCAGAAGTAACCAGCATTCTGATAGGAACTTTATCTTTCTTAATATAAATTCAGTTCTATAGCTTCTACTAAAGATGTGGCATCTTGGAGATCACAGTAGTAATTTCTGGTTTGGTTCACAGTGTCCATAGATTTTGATGTTTTTTATGACTTTCCTCACTTAAACCCACACAGTATCGATACATATCTCAATCAAACATACCTGTAGCTGAACAGAGACATTACTATTTAGTGACTGCTCATTCCACCTCAAGACCAAGATGTTGTTCTTCCTACACTCACTCAGTCTCAATTCATTGAACTGGTCATCAGCAATCATCACTGTGTGAAGTTCAAGGAGTGCAAAGGATAGAAGTATTTCAAAAGTGCTTTGAACTTTCAACATGTTAATAGTAACTGCTGTCTTTTACTTGAAAAAAGGATACAGATTAGCCACGTCATAAGGACCTCGTAGTTCTAGAGACTAAAACAAAACAAAGAAGGTTGGACATGGCAGGGGATTGGAATTTGGTGATCTCAAGGTCCTTTCCAACCCTACCTATTCTATGATTCTAGATGTGCATCCACTCTCTCTCAGGCTGACACAGTGTTAGCAGCAGGACAGGGATATAAGGAAGGCAAGATTAAATACTACATAAAAACAAGCTGCTGAAGATGCACTAGGAAATCAAGCAAATACTACTGTTTTGGAAAACACTGTCTTCATCTGGGAGAAAACTGTCATGGAAAATACCACAGCAGCAAAGAAAACCCCACCCAGCCAACAGAAAAAACCCCAAACCCACAATACAATTATTTGGCAAAACACTGATTAAAGAACCACCCACAAGATGAAAATAATATTTAAAATTACAATTTATTTTAATGTTTAATATGCAATTAGAGCTCTATTTTCAGGCACAGATAAATCCTCAACTTGTTCTGACTTACAAAAAAATAATCTGGGACTTACCCTTTCAGCTGCACTAGATATGACAATATTCTGGAAAACAAAGGAGAACAAACATTCATCTGTCAGGCAGCATCAAGAAATGAAAAAAAACCAAACAACTCAGCAAGCAGCAAAGACTTTATGAGCATTACCTAAATTCAGGCTCAGAACCCAATTAAACATCAGAGTATCTGATGCCCTCAGAGGTAGTGAATTGGAGCAAGGTGTGGATCTTAATTTGGGGACATCAATAAACCTCAGTCATCCCCTTGGCCCCTACAGAGAGAGGGGCACAGGGACAAGACCCCCCTTGCAGTTACACTTGCACAGACAGATGTGAGATGAACAAGTACCGCACCTTTCAGAGGTAATAGATTAAGCAATACAAAAATCAGAGTGATGGGACACAGTGTTAAGTGCCCCCTTTATCTACACTAGCTGAAAAAGGCCTCACACAAATGACAACTCAGCCTGAGCTGTAACAGAAGAAGACTTAGAAGTGGAGTTCAGGATCCCCCAGCAGCAGCTTACAGGGTAGTGCCTTTTGACAGTTTGGTGCTCCCAAATTTTCAGTCTAGTCTGTGCTGCAGTACAACTCATCCTAACCTCAGCATTCATTCTGGCTTTAACTGAACTCACACTGGTGTCTGAAGCTAGTGGCTGCTAGTTCATGCCATACACTCACTTCCGTCAACACTGGCACCCCCAGGAAAATCACCAGGCGGAGACACATCCTTTTCCCTCATAGGGTTTCTGCAGAAACCGACTGCTTGGGGGCTGGCAGGTACCACAGCTTAGCTGCCAGTGCTCTCCTGTTATTAAACCCCCAAGGATGCTCACTCAGTGAGTGGCTGTTTTGCACAGGTGGAAACCTTTAAACAGCAAAAAAAAAACCACCCTTGCACATTTTATTATACTGAATGAAAGGCTTTGGGAATTCCTGCTTGAGTGGGTGGGAATGAGCAATTGTACTGAGGCAGTGAAAGACTCTCCCTCTCTGACGTCAGTACCACCAACACATCACACCACTCCCGGTTACAAGGTGGGGATTTTGATCCCTTCCTTGAATTGCTTTGCTTGTCCTGCCACCTCCCCAGCACAGACAGCAGGGCAGACACTGGAAGAAAACACTGTATGCAGCTGGAACTCAACATATAAAACAGCTATTTGCGTGGAAGTGACTGTATGTTCATATTGTGCCCAGGGTTTCATGTGCTAAGGAGGAAAGTATGGGAGAGACCACTCTGCCTTAGCATAAGGAAAGCCAGAAGCAGAAGCAATACCCACAAAGTGACTTAAAAGCACACATCATGAGGGAGCCTAAGACATTTCTTTCTGCATAGTTCACCTGCATGCACTATGGATCCCCAGGGTGCTTTTGTGCTTCAGTGGTGCTGACTGCTACAGTTTGCTGTGAAAATTCAAGTCTCCTGCTCTGAGCTGTAGCAACCGATGCCTGCCTCCCAGGCTCAGAGAAGCTCCCAGAACAGCTGTGCAAGACATCTTCAACCAACACAGGATTGTAGTTCACTGCTGCACATTGGAGATATGCTCCACCTGGTTCAAAGGCCTTCATTATGGGATAGGTAAGATGGGAAGAGGCAAGAGCAGACAAGAAAAGCACTGCTAGCAAGTGAATGATAGGCAAGCAAAGGCAAATCCAAGTGAAGGGCTGAAGGGAAGAACTCAAAGGCAAAACATTATCTCCCCAGGTAAAGGAGACAATAACTTTCAGCACACTGCTTCAGGCATAGCACCTACACTCAGTTACCCAAACATGCGAGGTGATGGACTGTGGCTATGCACACCTTCTCTCTGGTAATGCACGTGAGTTCTTCCCTCACTGCCTGCACATTTTAGCATGTTTGAAGGATTCTGCTCAATTCCAGCTCCAAAGATATGAGTAAATTTCTGGAAATTTCTTTGCCCTGCTACAAGAGAGGAGGAACAAAAGGATCCAGAAGCTGGTACAAGTTCAGCAACTACAGGTTACAGAAGGCAAGGGCTGCATGTCAGATGCCAGTGCAGACTATGGGCCAGCCATCTCTTGTCTCGTTAAAAAAAGGTCTTTCAATAACTGATGGAGACAACCTGCCAGTGAGAGCTAATAACCACCTCTGCAGGCCCACCAGGTACCGAGCCTGAAGGCAAGAATAATGGTGAAAAGTAAAGACAAGCTAGCAGTTCCCTCCCAGCACTACCAGTGCCTAACAGCAACTTGTCATGTCCAGCTAATTTACCTTGCAGGCACAGACGATGCACTAGATTGTCAGATACAGAAAGAAAGGGCACTGTGCAGACTGAGCACCACATGTCTCACTTGCTGCATTCATGATGGCAACTCAACTGATCCTCTTCAATAATCATGAGAACCACATTTTTAGCTGCACACAGGAAAAAGGAAACTGGCAAAAAATGAATCGCAGAGAAAAGGGAGCTTGTGTGTAGGTATCTCATCCCCAAGTCAGTACCTGCGCAATTAGCTCCCAGAGTTGAACCTCTGAGGAAAGGCCATGAAAATACCTTCTGTAGCACCAAGGGAATTTGTCTGACCCACTCTGCTGTCCTATAAAAGAGGCTGCTACGCCTGAAGAGAACTAAGGTAACAACAGATCTGCTTTTCATTTGCCTTCCTAGCTATATATCCCACTTAAGACTAGATTTGCACAGTAATGCCTATTTTGGCTTTTCTGGACTACCCAGCTGCAGCAAAGGCCATTACTTCCAATAAAGGTGGTGGGAGCTATAATTTCTTTTAACTTGGATATGTATTACGATTCACTTCCCTGTTAAAAAAACCCAAAACATGGCCTGAAAGGACCCAGCATGATAGGCAGCTCAGGCTGGCAGCTGGGAGGAGGTGAGCCATGAAAGCAATTCATTACAGGCATCTCAGCTGCAAGCATTAGTTCTTCCTTGGGTTTCAGTAGCAAGGAAGAATGCAGCTATTTTTACTATTAAAAATACTATTTAATAGTAAAATACCTTTACTATTAATTTACTAACTGTTTAACAAAACAAGATTTCTACTTCTTTTTATTATTATTTTCTACTCCCCCATATTGAAGGTACACTATTAAATAAGTGCTTTTGGTCAATTAGAAATAAGAAACGTATTTTAAAGGAAGAGATGCATGGGTTTCAGTTCCAATGAAACCTTAGGTCTTGACATTTTTTCCCCTTTTGTTTTGAATAATGCATACGTTGAACAACAACAGATAGACTGTTCTGAAAAAAGAATCTAACAGTTTGACAACTTAAGAAGAAATCATGCAGTGGTGCATGGCTGAAAGTATCTGGAGCTAGAATAATTGTGTCCTTGTATTAGCAGGCAAAGATTCAGTCACAGCTTCAAAAACCCCAGCATCAAACTCATTTAAAATGGTTCAGTCTGTCCAACTCCAGAAGAATTTGAAGTGAATTAATTAGCTTGCTTTCACATTGAGAGCTTACCTTTCCTTTGCAGATCTGCATCAGGCTGATCGCATTTGAAATTGTGTATCTTCTCATTGTGGAGTCTTTGATGGCAGGCGTATAAAGAAGTTCAAAGTAAATGCCTCGATCTATTGCCTTCACATGAAAGAGAGTGATCAAAAATCAAAAGCAGAGAAGCATAACAATCTAACAACTGCTGTCTATTATTGATATTGCTTATTCTCAGTTTAACTGTACTCCATACGAAAAAAGTAAGATGGAATTGTTCCAGCAAGAGCACAGCATAGCATGCAAGGGGCAGGCAGCAGGTTTCACTGTACACCAGATAAGTGTACTTGAATCTTGGGATGACAGATAAATGAGGTTTAACAAACAAAGAAATACCAGCCATTTATCAGTTGTAACTGGCTTTCCACTATCATAAGAGTTGAGGAGAAAGTTAGCTACTTCTGGTCAGAAACAAGCCTTGAAATTTTGACGACTCTCCTCTAGCCACGCAGCCTGCTGTTAGGAAGCCCATTGGTTCCAACAGTACCCATGACTTGCAGGTGAGGAACTTGTCCTTGCACAAAAGCAGCGATACTGATATTTGTGACAATGTTAAATAACAGTGAGTCACAGGAGAAGTTTCAAATAGCAATACTGATTATATTTTCAGTTGCTTTAAAATCTTTTGCCATCTGTTAAAGTACCTCATCAAAAACCTAGTATTCCTGTTTTTGCAAATACACAGGGAAAGGCGTATCAACTTGTTACAGGACACGGTGGGTTAGTGATAAAGACACAATTTAAAGCTAGTTCTTTGTTCCATGGCCTAAACTACATTTGCCTGAAATTTTACTCTATGCTTCATACTTATGTTATCAAGAAATGCTGCAATGCTAGTATAAAAGAGTCCAGTAACTGAATACAGATGGAATTAATCCAGCTTCTATCCATGCATGACCTCTGCCTGCTAGCACAACAGAAGCTATGTACACGTGAAATGTTTCAAACAGAACTAGTCCAACATCTGCAAACAAGAAGAGAAGCCTGAATTTATCAAAACCAAAACAGGTGATGGCAATACACCAATTTCCAGTCAAGCAGAGTTTTAACCTCATCCCCACTGCTTCAGCTGCCTGCCAATCTGTCTGTCTGGCACCACAACAACCAAAACTGTCTGCCCCAGGATGCACAAAACCAGTCTGACAGACAGACTGCCTTGAAGCTGGGAATGTGGAAAATGAGAACTAGCTTGTAAGGAAGATGTCTCCTAACACAGGGCTCCAAGAGCTACCCTTGGTCTTGCTGGAGCCAGGTCAGCTGCTGGAGTTTTAGGCAGCTAGGTTACTTTCAAGCAACATTTCATATAAAATTGTTACTTCAAGTGGAATGTTAAAATTCCCAGCCTATAGTGAATTCCAAAGTATACTTTTGCTCTGTTTCAGAATAATTTCTAGTTAATCTTTGATTTTAATTCTTGAACAAACTTTCTATAGAAAAGGAAGTAGGGTTTCTAGCCAATTCCAAATTTGTATTTTTTTTTAGCACTAAGGACTACACCAGCCAAGAATGCCCACATGGAATGAACCCTGACATACACTCGGAGGCAAAGACTAGTTCACTGAAGAGCATGTTTGGATTAAGCTTTCTGGCAAACTACCAACAGTAGGCAAAACTGTATTAACAAAATATTTGATCCATGCTGATAGTCTTCTAGTGTCCAACAGCAGATATTTACCAATTCCACATTTGGTTCATCTGCCAAGACATTTTTTTGTCTAAATATGGATGCAATACAGTTTTCTTCCAAATAACTGCACAGGATCCCTGTCCCAAATTAATACTGTCATTCACATTCTCCTATCTTTTAAATCACAGGCTATTTATCTATTCTGACACAACTGTACCACTTCTGGTATGGGAAGCAGCTTAGTCAGCAATCACACCATGTTTCACTGCTTAGCATACTAGTGGCCTTAAGGCTCTGTTTCCACTCCTTGGAAACACCACTTCTGCCTTCTTAAGTGCGGAACAGGGAGAAGAAAAAGAAATAACATACATCAGTGTGTATTAAATGCTGCAGTGGAGGCCTTGAAGTGAAGGACATCTGAAACAACACTATACATTATGGAAGAAAATAAAAGAACCATGTGGATGGGAATGGTGGGAGGAAAATGGTAGGGAATTAAACTCAGACTGACATTAAATACAGAATTTAACAGCAAGAAAACAATTTAGATGTAAATTTACCATATTCACAGGGGGCCTTCGGAAGTAGAATGGCAGTTTTTCTGTTACATTTATGCATACCAGATCCACGTCTAGAGTTGTACAAGCGATCTGCAGCAAAGAAATAGGAACATATTTTTAGATATGCCAAAAAAACCACAGAACCAACTTTAGATGCACTAGTATTCTCCTTCATCTCTTAATGCAATAAATGTCTCTCCAGGGTGAGTTCAGTTTTAAAGTGAAGAGGCACTCTGTCTTGCATGTTTGCCAATAAAACAGCAAGGCTACAGGTGCAAAGCTTGAGCATTTTGGGCTTAAAACCCAAGCCTTCTCTCACAGAACTACTTTTCCAGTAATGTAATGACCAACCCAAAGGCAAGACTTAATACTTTTTCTTTGACTAGGACATGCAGTGTTGTTTTTTTGGCAAAAGAACTCATAGGTAATGAAGGAAAACCCCTATTTGCAAAGGGAACAGCCCAGGCACTGCCTCTTACTCCATCACTCTCTAAATCCAGTGTAGTAACTGTTTGGTTTTGGGATTGCTTTTACCACAAGCAACCAAGAAAAGACTGAAAGAAAAGCAGAACTGGTGTGCTCCATGCCCAGTTCTGGGCCCCACTTTCCTGGCTGGGTGGGCAACATACAGCTCTTCCTGATGATGGAGGAGTCTGAAGATGGTATCAAGTGTTATAGTTTAAAAGCTTAGCTTTGAACTCACCACAATTTACAGCCTGTATTAAAAGATAGAAGGAACAAAGAGAAGCGTGGAGAAGAGAATCTCCACACTGACATACAGAGAAAATTAAATACACATAAAAGTGAGCATGTGATTTACATATAACCTCATGCACAGAAGATATGTAGGATATGTAGACATACGCCTATGCCATCAAGACGATTACACAAGACCAGATTAATGTCTGCAAGCAGCATTGTAACAAAGAAGATAAAAAAGCCTGAAGAAGTTGAAAAGGAATTTTAATGCACAGGGGAGCTGTGCATCCAGAAACCTGCCAGCAACTGCTCCAAATACACCTGAGCCAGGTGCCAGCCATTCAACCCTCCATGCACCAGCACAAAAGCAATAGGCATTGCGGGGAGTCCCACGGCTGTTCTAATGCAAGGCAAGCTGTTGCTTTGCAGACTAGCCTTCTACCAGTTTGTTCACATGAACTTTGGATGGGGATGAGAGCAAATGCCCAGCTTTAGGAATGCTTCTTAGCTGACAGCACTCCTCTTAGACAGAAGGGCCACAGCACATGTGCAGGCAATTCAAAGATCCAGAAAACCACAAGGTTTTTTTATGTTAAAGTGTCTCTACCCTTCAGACTAAAATTTATTTTCATGCCCTACCTTTACCAACTCTGTTAGACAGAACACAGTTGGAATCTATTCCATTGAATTAGACTTGCATGCGCAAGTTTAGCACTACTACGGCCAGTTTTACTCCTTTTCTTATGCAGAATACAAACTACTACCTAGACAGAGGGGATTCATGGGAAAATGCACAGAGCGAATAGCTCTGAATCATGTCTTAAAAAACATGTCAGTAAGGCCATAGAAATTTACAAAGAGAGAAAGCTGAAAATGAAGGAAAGCAAGAATACAAATCAAAACATACAAGTTGCCCTATGTGACGAGAAAACAAGTGTTCCTAATCAGCTCCAGAAACACTGGAAAACTCATTTCCATTTTTTTAAATTAGCACAGTGGGAAAGGGAGGGAATCAAATGCCAGGATATCTACAGGACTCCAGTGACAGGAACATTTCAGAAGCCACCACCAAGGAAAACCAAAATTAAGTCATATTTCCCATAAGGAGGAATTCCTTCATTGCACGGAAAATTTGAGAGGAGATTTCTCCAAACACTCCAGTGTTCAGCCTAGCTTTGGATCCTGGACAAGTCACACACACAGGCACGTTAAGGCTACCCTGCCTGCTGAAAGGATCTCAAGTGCAAAACTTCATAGGAAACTTCAGAGAATGATCCGCAGCAGCCGCACAGCCGAGCGCCTGCCTGGCCACACCGCAATCAAGAGCTCCATCTGCTGGGAGACTTCAGATAGCCAGGAATAAACAAATTGCTACTGCTTGGACGGCCTGAAGAAAGTTTGGGCAAATGTTTTAGGAATAAACACTGAATTTTGGCTTTGCACTACATCCTCAGAGTTGTATGTGCAGGCTTTTTAGATACGGGTGACTTGCTAATTGCTTGCAAACAGCGGGCAGAACTAATATCATTAAAACAGTCAGAAATCTTAAAAAGCAGAATTTTTGAAAAGCATTACTGGCAAGGAGTGGGCATTCCTGTTGCAGCCCGAAACAATCCTCATGGGAGACTTAAAGAAACATGTTCTACAATTATCTTGGCAAACACAGCTTACTCATACCCCTGAGGATATAAATTATTTGGAGAACTGAAGCACATCTTTCAGTACGTATCACACTGTTCCCAGAGATGAAAAGAAAGAGGTGAAGAGTGGCCTTAAAAAGTATTTCACAACTATTCACCTCTTTCACATCCCCAACAGTCCTAAAATCTTACAAGGGAAATAAAAGCAGTCATAAACTAGTTTCATTAAGCTGTTAACTATTATAATTAATGTTCAAATTCTTCTACTGAAAGATGATTTAAAGTTCACTTTATTTTACAGCCTCTTGCTTTGAACTTTATTTTTCAAAAAGTAGAGGAAACAGAAGAATAGAATTTTAATGTGTCAAAGCAGGTACTCAGCAGTACTAAAAAGTAGCTTTAACTTACTTTGAAAACACTACCAACAGGCTCAGTTTTATACTGACAAGATCTCTTTGAAAGTAAATTTTGCTAAGAGATTCATGTTTCTTTCAGTGATCCTGCGTCTTCTTCACTCTGCTTTAAATTGCATGCCTGAATGCTGCCTGCCAAGGCTAACAGAGACAGGAAGTTTCCACTTCCACTTCAAAGTTGATGTTATTATTGCTGAGCTTGCAATAGGTCAGAAGTCAGAGTTTAGGGTCTTGTAAGAAAAGCATTCTGACAAAAAGACAACTTGCTTCCAGATGCTTGACTTGATCAGACCACTCACATCAGCTGTTAGCAAGTATCTTAGAAAAATTTAGTTAAAAATATAAGAGACATGGAGATAACGAACACCTATCATCCAACAAGCCAAACTTGAGGTCAGTCTACCCTAGCTAGTGGAATTTTATACTGGAATTTACATATTGAAATTTTATATACTGCTGATATAGCAAAACCTTCAACAGCTCACAAATTTTGTGGAGGCAGTTTTCAGTTGCAAGTTTGTGCTGAACAGCCAGGATAAATCTGAGTGAGAAACTGACCATCTGCCCTTCAAGTATTTCCCCTGAGACTGCTCTACTTTCATACCGCTTCAATGGTTTTCCCAGTAGGCAAAGTAACAAACACATCATGAAGAGATAGTGGTGAAGCATCTCCCACTCAACCTGATAATCCAAAACACTCAAAATAAAACCAGAAATCTCAGTCTAGCAACGGAATAAGGGCCATTATGTTCAACTGGGCATGTTTACATTTGGAAATTTTATCTGTTCGTAAGATGCTGTGACAGCTGGAACTAACTCCGTCTCATAAGCTCTTGCTCCTCTTTTGATTTAAAATAACAAAATAAAAGGAAAATTTAAAGAAAAAAAGATCAGCTATTCATTTGGACAAACTTCCAAGCCAAGTCCTAAGGCTAAAAGGAAGAAGCCAACTCTCAGAACCACGTTAATTCCACTTTAAAATCCTTCCACTTTCCCTGGCATTTCAGAGACCAGAAGATAGCAAACGCATTTTGAGAAACCTGTCAGAGATTGAAAAGTTAAAGTTCGAAACTGAAGTTTTGTACATGCTGATAGTATGTGTGTGTGCAGATATATATAAGAAAAAAAGGATGTTTTTCCTCCTCACTAGAGAAGTACTCAGTAGAGTACAATACACACAAACAAAACCACAGTGCAGGGGTCTACAAGTCCATTCATAGGTAGGTATTTCAGACTGTAACCAGTCACCTCAAAGCTTTGCAGTCTCCTGCAATCCCTCCCAACCTTCTCATCTTATCAACTGACCAGGCAGCCTGTGTTGCTTAATTAGCTCCATGACATGCAGACCTGTATAAAATGGCAAATAAAATCAAAACAAAGCATGTACTCAAACTAGCCCAAGGCACTATGAGTTACCCAGTGAGCATTACCAATCAGATGACTTCACTTACGTGGAACAGTTTCTCAGTCTTCGGAAATACTGCTATGATGTCATATAACCTTATATTTGGAGATGTTGATCTCTACAAAAGGTCAGAGCAAGTACTATCTTGAATTCTGGCAGATGCCAAAGCTATGCACAATGATTATTACTAAAATAATGAGAAAAGAAAAAATCCCCTTTTCACTTTCAGTACTAAAACAAAGCAAATAATCATTCAGTTACATAGTAAGTCTCTGATGTGAGCCATACTGCGAAGTCATTCATTCTCATTTTGAGGCTTATACCACCCACCTAGTAAGGCACTTACACTTTTTGCTTTGATCATGTAGCATTAAAACAAAAATAGATACAGGGCTTGCTCACAGCCTTCTGATTTACATGCAGAAGTCCAGAAATCAAAGAAAAAAGAATAACAAAACTGTTGTCCCACACTGACAAATGATCGATAGAAACCATATCCAGTCTTGTAAGTCTGCATCTCTTCATGATCACGTTATTTGCTGAAAATGTCGTATAAGAAACCAATGCTGAGTGTCCTACAAAATCCACAAAGTTCTCCCCATACAATTTCCAAAGTTTAATTCATTCATTGAGAAAAGGAAATAAAAATTGGAAAACAGATGTACTAAACATACTTACCAATAGATTACAGTGGGAAGGATCAGAAATAATAAGTGTTAGCCGTGTTAAAACTTTAATTCTTTTAGATGTCCCCTATAAAAAATAATACAAAAGACCTTAAAAAGTTTCAAAGCAAAAATATGTGGTGACTTTTACTCTGAAAACTATAAAAGAAAATGGTGCCTTGCTCATATTCATTCCTTTGTTAATTTTCTGAAGTTTGAAGTTATACTTTCCAATTTTAAATTGATCTATTTGATATTATACATGCCCTTTATAGAGAAGGGCTTACTATGTTTTTCTGAAGAAGGGTGGAAGGACAGAAGGCATAAAATCATGCAGAAAACCTGAGTATGTTTTAATACTGCTATGGCTCCCCAGGCAGGCCACAACTGTGTGCAAAAGCAGTTCCTGAATTAAAATACATAAGTGATCTGAAATAGAGACTCGGTTCATTATATCCAAATGATGCTCCATCAAAGCCAGGAAGTGACTGTCAAAACTCAATTTTCAAGAATTACAGTGTCATTATTCAACTACAAGAAGGTTCAAAATTCACACAAAGCAACTGTTAAAATAATGTTAAATATAATGAATAGCACCTACTCTAATACCAGTGTACTGTTCTTCTAATGCCGGGAGTTTTAACGATCAACCAATGGACAAATTTATCTTTTTTGCTTAACATGTAATACACAAAATCACATATACAAACACACCAAAGTAAAAATCATAACCCAGAGTGACAATGCATAGATAGAATGTAACTAGACATACTTGCACAACAGGCAAAGATGGAAACAACTCTGAAGGAGATACTGGCTTGACGATTTCCTTAAAAGAGAACAAACAGTTACTCAAAATGTCAGGGGTTAAGTTTACAATATAAACAAAAGCTGTGTTCCAATCCTAAAAAGAAATTTGCAATGCTAACAAAACTGTATCCCAGGGACAATACATGGACCATATTAAAAGTTAGCCCGGGGCAACTGTACTAAATTATAAAATAGGAGTTCTGTCATAAATTCAGACATTTGTACTTGCATCTAGATATGCGTTCTGCAGATAAGGCTACCTGGGAACATGTACTGAGGCATGTAGGTTTACAAGATAAAACACACTAAAAACAAATAATCCTAACAAAAATTACCTGTTTCTTTTCTTTAAAATCGATGACATGATTCAGAGCAACCACAGAATATCCCACTGAAAAAGTAAACACAGTAAACTAATGCAAACAAACAAAAATGTGTGAAACACTCATTACTTAAATGTCGCAGAATTAATAATCACATGCATATTTGCCTTTCACATTATTTTTCTCTGAAGATTAATTCACCCCAAAAGTGCCTTAAAAAATTATTTGCCTTTTAATATGTTCTAGTCCTGACAACATTTACTCAATGGCAGAGCTTTATGAATATGAATACTTAGGAATAAAGTTCCCAAAGACTCTGCCCTCGTTTGGTCCTGTTGATACCTTTAGGGAAAATGGTTAAGGATATTCAAGACAGTTGTTAAAGGTACAGGTAATGCAGAGCTGGGAGAAATACAGCTACAGCAGAAGGCAAGGTGAGCATTCAAAGTGATGCTGAACAAACCCGACTGAATAGATCTCATTCGGCAGGGACTAGCGGAGAAAGTCAAACCGCCCCCCAGACGCTTGGCAGGCGGAATGTGGCTGTACAGCACTTCTGCAGAAAAAGAAGACTTGGGCCATAATGAACTACAGGTGGAAGGATGTGTCCATGCGGGTAAGAAAACCAGTTATTACACTGGGATAAAGGCAGAGACAGAGCCTGCAAGGCTGTCCTCGCTACACGTAAACTACACGGCTACTACACGGCTTTCCTCGCTACTCGGCACTGGAAGACCTCAGTCCTGATCACTTCACTTGCAGAAAACCACAAGTTGAGGGGGGGAGCAGAGAAGAGCGAGGGGAAACGCTACCCGCCGGGGAAGCAGGAGACCAGGTTTAGCCCACGGGGAGGGAAAACTCACCCCGGAGACTCACGCCGTGCTCACACGAGCGTGCCGGAGCTGTCGCTCTTGCCGCGCCGCCCTCCTGGCTGGGCCCAGCTCAGGCCCACCCGGCTCTGAATCGCATCCCGAGCCAGAGCCCAGGCCCCACCGCCGCTGCCGCCCTCCCCGCTCCCGCCGTGCCCGAGCAGGGACTTACAGTGTGCTGCGGTCTCCAGCAGACCGTGCAGAGACTTCTTGTCCGACCCCTGCGGGAGGTTCAAGTCGGCGAAGCCAGCCATGCTGAGCGCTGTGGAAAGGCGGGCCGCTACTCCCGGCACCGCCCCCAGCGGCCCGCGTCAGCCTGGGACTTGTAGGCCCGGCCCGGCCGTGCCCTGCCCTACCCGGGCACGAAGCTTCCTGCTCCCGTCGGCAGAGCGGCAGTTTGTCCTGCGGTGTTCGCTGGCTGCGATCACAAAACCGCAGCAGCGAAGGGAGAGGATGTTTCACGTCTTCGCTGTACTGCTCGATCGGAGGTGCTCTACCAAAGGGTCGCCATAACCCAGGGGAAAGCCCGTGTGGGGAATGTGTCAGATCTCAGGCGGAGCCCTGAAAATCAACCCTGGCTCTGAGGAAGACCACGCTTGGCTCCGAAGGAGACGGGACCTGGTTCTTGCTTCTCTAAACAGCGAAGCAGAGCAGGCAGAGGCGCACCGCTCTCTTCGTCCCCACCAGGTGGAGCAGTTACCTCGCTCGTCTGAAGTGTGACAAGTTAGAGTGGAGCTCCATCTCAACGCTGCCAGAATAAAATCCGAATCATCTCTGGTTATTGAAAGGTCTTCTCTTTCCTTTGTTACCTAAAAAAATGTGAACTAAAGCCCCAAGCTCCCATGTCAAGAGATACCCCTTAAACTGCAAAAGGATTGAGGAATTGTAATATGCTAGTAAGCAAACACACATTCACTGTGTACCGCTGTTACAAAAAGCACACAAATATCTCTTTCTACCATTGATTAATAGCACAAAATATGTAAAATACAGGTGGTAATTACCACTAGGGGTTTTTTGTTCAGCAGCAGTTGCAGACAGCAGGTCTGTAATTCCCATCCAACTCCAGGGCCTCAGCTGCGCTGGGGATCCTCAGATTTCTCCTTCTTCAGAATGTTCTAAATGTTCATGAAGGGAAATCTGTGCGATCTGGAGCTCCAAACTCTTACTGAGGCAAAACTGCTTCTAACCAAGGCCAATGCATCAATGCTGCCAATTCCGTGTTATTGGTACGTCCCTGCTTACAGGATCTGTCCTTCGTGCAGCTTCTGCCAACTGTGCCTGGGGACTTATGGTTCATTTCTACCAGAGATCCAGTGGTTTGCAAACGATGACAAAGGATCAATAGTGCCCTGTGGGCAGGTTTCTAGCCTTGCTGTCTGATGAGTTACAAAGACCTGGGATAGTGGTAATAGAGAAGCTAGTTCTGGGCTGCAGAGACTGGATTAGGAGTCAGGGTCCTTTGTTCTTGCTACACCTATGGGAGCATTTTGTTCTTGACAATATTGGGTCAAGATATTTCAGTAAAGGAGCTCTGGTTTGGCCTATCCGCATCTGTAAGGGACTTGCCTATTATATTAGATCAGCCAGCACTGCTTCTCTGCTTCAAACAATCAGCATAGCCTGAATGGTATTGTCAAGCTTTTCTTTGATGTGGGTGAAAACGGAAGAGCTGAAGATACGATTCCAGGTTTTCTTTGGCTGAGCATATGATGGAACATAATTTCTCTTAATGAATGTAAGAAGCAGTCCATAAACATGCACCAGTTATTTTTGAATGGCCGTGCTGCAGCAGCTTCAGAGTCATCAAACAGGATTAAGCAGCTTTTATGTCTGGTAATATACAAACAAAACAAACCTTTCCTCAAGGCACTTAAAATGGAGAACATTTAAACAGATCTTCATGCATAACATCTGCACAACCCTGTTTGCTGTAATGGTGTAAGAATCTGAGTATGAAGCACTTTCGGCATCAGGTATCATGACACGTACTCAGACCAGTGTGCAATCTCATATCCTGCATGAATAACTCAAATCTTACTGCTTTTGTTCAGGCCAGCCCCACTGACCTACTTAAAATGTCTTTGTGGTCCTCACTGTTAAGCCACAAGCTTCTACTGTGATTTGTTTCATCAGTATACTGAAGATCTCATGATGGAGCCAGATCTCCTCTCTCTAGGTGTTTTCTTTCTCAATACACATAGATCTCAAGTCAATTCTTTCAGAAATTTGCACTCAGGAATCCTACCAATAGGGCAGCCCTTGGTAGCAACTCTTAGATTTAGTTTGGCATTTAACACTTTTAGGGAGTGATGCTGTCTGTCTCAGTAACGTAAATGTCACAGTCACTTTTATCATAACCTCGTTTGTAAAGGTTCAGACTGAATTTTCAGGGCTCTGTTTTTCTGAGCAATACAGATTTTTTAGCATAAATTTCACTTTAATTGTTTGTTTTCTTTTCATATGTCAGCTTGCTGTTAGTATTTGCTAGTTCCAAAAAGAGAAGACATGATTTCACATTTAAGTTGCACAGATGCAAGTATTTATTTTGACAATGATAAGAAATGCCAAAGATGGGAACGGTTACCTCTCAGCTTTACTGCTACAGACTGGTGATGATTTATTTTCACAAAGATGAGAAAAGACAGAAAAGAAAACTGCAGCTGCAACATCTTTGCTAGAAGTTGGACAAGAGTGTTATTTGCTGAACAGTACATGCTGGGAATAAAAATTGAGGTTTCAGTAATATTTGTCCACGGAATTCTAACCAACCTCTGATAAATATTCTAAACATTTTGACAACATATTTCCCCAAGGCAAAAGAAGCATATACCTATACTTTATTTATTGTCCCCAACAGCAGGTCCTCACCGGTCTTATATTTGTTTCCAGGAAAAGAAAACAGAAGGAAAGAAAAAAAAATTACATCAGGCAAATGAAAACAACAGTTTATGAAGACAGATTGGTGCACGCAAGAAAGGACAAAAATGGGTATGATAAAAAAGGAAAAAAAGCAAGAAAATATATCTATTTATTTATTACCTTGTATACTCCTGTTGTGTTACTTTCCTGCCATGCATCCAAAGTGAAATTGTTTGAGAAGTGGAGTGTAGCAGTACCTTAAAGCTATTATGCTAAGATGTTTTCTAGAGGTGGCTGTGTGTGGGAAAGAGTTACCATGCCGGACTGACAATGCTTTCTCCTTCACTGGTGAAGTTCCTGTGCTGCATTTCTTGACCCATTTCAGTCAGAGTGCTCCAAGTTAGTGAAGACCTGCTGTGTCAACAGACTGCAAGCATTAAGTCCTCTGGAGAGGGAGGAAGGATTCAGGGTTTAGTCAAAGTTCTTTCAACACAGACACTTTTAATAGGTACAGTCTGGCCTCAGGAAGTCAACGTGTGCTGGGGCCTTATTTCTTAGCTAGCTCTGATGATGGCTGTCTTACCTTACTTCACTAACACAGGAACAAAGACTGGATACCAATACCCTCTGTAATAATCTACTCTAAGTATGAATCACAAATGCATAAGATATGTGACTAACATTATTTCTGGAGGAGGGGAAAAAAATTTAAAAAGTTAATTATTTTTTGAGAGGAAAATAAATTAGAAGAAAACGTTTCCCTTCCCTTGCCTATTTTTTTTTTTTTTTTAAATCTGGAACATTTTTATATAACAAAAATGAAATATCAAAGAAGAGATTTGCAAATAAAGTACATTATCAGGTGTAAAAAAAATAGCTTAACTTCAATAAGTGCATGAAGAAGGAAGAACAAGGGCTTTAGCACAGAGTCAGAGGTATACAGAAATATGAAGAGAGCCTAAATTACTCAAAGGACAGGATGTTACTAAACCCAGAGAAAACTAATTTGATGATATTTATTGAAGCCTAATGGAAGGTGAAAAAGTAATATTCTGGAGCAATTAAGGGAGAACAAATGTCAGCTTGTTATTCTTGCCACCCGGTCATTTTGTATGTTTCATTTTTGTATGCCGTCTGGAACAGCATATTAGAATTTGTAAATAGGGTCACTGAAGACAAAAGCAGGATGTAAACTTGGAAGAATCAACTCCTACCTTCATGCAGCATTATTTTAAATACACAGAATAGATGTAGCATCATGGAGTGATGGATGCTCTCTGCTTTCCCAGACACTGGGGAGGTGCAAGCCTCCAAAACCCTCAAGGAAAGCACCTCACCAGATGCAGTCCAGTCCTGGAAACTGGCATGTTATTCTAGGTGTGTCCTACTGAAAAGCTTTCAAGGAAAAAAAATTAAAGAGGTATTAGCTATTTTATTTTGCCAAGGTTCCATGTTTTCTCTGCAATAGTAAGCAAACCCCTTCCTATAACAGCAAGCAAATTGACTTAAATCGGCTTGTCTCTTCAAAGATAAGATTATGAGAGTAAATACAAAGAATACAAACATATGACCTTTGAGAAGGAAAGAAATCAGCTGACTAAGTTCAATGAACTGCATGGGAATTTAAGGCACAGAAAAAAATATGAGGCTAAAATACTCAAGTTGGAATGGGTAAGAGTAACATGCAAATGCTACTGTACATCATCCACTGAGTACACTTAGAGAGTCACGTTCTAGGAGTATATTGAAAAGCTGTCAAGAAGAATGACTGACTTAATGAATTGTGTCAACACATTTGCAGGAAGCACTGGCTTATAATTTGCTCTGCCTTAGTGACATTTTAAGTAACTGAAAAATTGCTTTTACAGTGAGTATTAAACTGTACAATGTTATCAGCTTTTATGATACAAAGCTATTTTGAACAAAATTTACCCGCTCCCTATCTCCTTGTCTGTACTTCAGACACTATTTTTAAAAAACTTATTCACATAAGGAAATATTCTCCTTTCTCCACATTTTGCCTGAATCCTTTAACTTGTTTTGATGTACCCTTTCCCTTCTAAAGATCCTTTTCTTCCTAATAGTTGCTTGTCTGAGGAGGAGGGACAAAGGACTTGCTTTATCACTTTGGAGGGGCAAGTCACTTGAAGCTCAAGGCTCATGAACACATTCTGGGTGGTTAAATAAAATCATAGAATAGTTAGGGGTGGAAAGGACCTTAAGATCATCAAGTTCCAACCCCCCTGCCATGGGCAGGGACACCTCACACTAAGCCATGTCACCCAAGGCTCTGTCCAACCTCAACTTGAATGCTGCCGGGGATGGAGCATTTACCACTTCTTTAGGCAACCTGTTCCAGTGCCTCACCACGTTCACAATAAAGAACTTCTTATATCTAACCTGAACTT